TTTTTAATGTAGTAATTAAGTCAGGGGTTTGATGACAGTTGGGTTACGTAACATTTAGGTGTATAATTGAACGTAGCAGGGTAATGGCAGACTTGTAGCAAGAATGTTCGTGATATTGAAAATCAATAATGTTCTGAAATGATTAGATAAGGAATTTTCCAGGGAAATTGTGCGTGCGCGTTTGGTTGGAACACCTTGTGACGTTGAAAGATGTGTCATTCGTGCTCGCCAGGTGTGCGTGCGTGCGGGTGTAAATCACAGAAGTATTGATCGGCGTAAATTAGGAAACAGCTTTTAAAATCAAATTGACAGGAAACAGCTTGGAATTTTAGTAAATCACGAATAAGTAATGTCAATCTTGGTTTTATGTAGTTTAGGCGTGTATTTCCTTTGTAATAGCAGATAAATAGAATCACTATCTTGGAACAGAAGTTAGTGGGAACGATTGAATGCAGAAAGTTCACATATTGTATAGATTATAGATTAACGCAAGAAATCGGAAAGATACAGTCGTATTGATTGTCGAACCAGCGCTCCGCAGAGATTGTCCTTGGCGCAGTGGAGAATTCTGCAACAACAACCACATTACATTTAAAGACCGGGGCGAGATGAAATAATTTTCATACAAATTTGTGCGATAAGTAGTTGAAGAAATATATAATGGATACTTAACTCCTGAAGCCTCGGCGAATTTGCGTGCAGACAAATCTGTATTGGGCCAATCTTCACGCTTCGTAGTTTCTTTATATGGCTGCAACTTTTGTTTATACATTTCGGAGAAACTGGCCAATCTATGACGTATGGAGTTACAATGGTTTATTGAACGGGATACGCTTGATTTCAGTAAGCTAGATTTGAGAACAGAACCGAAGCACTTCGGAAGTGGTGGCCATTGTCATCGATATTTGACTTCCAAGCAATGTAAGTAAACTTAAGAAAATGCACGCAGTTGTTCAAAATTACGATATTGCTGAAAATAACAGCTGTTTTTCTGTGAATTGCTTTCACCGTGCAAAGCGTAACTCAGTTGCAAGTACTTAATTGCTTGCTGAACTTAAAGTTACGGTGCTTCTTGGAACATAACAATATCTTATGAGAAGGTCAGCAAGTGTGTTTTCAAAACCTTTCCCAACACGTGGAAGAACGATTAGATATCACGAACTTTAAGTCATTTAATTATTAACCTCTTAGATAAATTAAACAAAAAGGGAGTCGTTTGCACCTGTCGCGGTCGAGTGGCAGCGAGAAAGCGAGAATATGCGTGGAATGTAATCGGTATTCACTGTCTGTTGCTGTTGCTTTGAAGGTTAAAAACTTTTCACGGGCCTGCACGACTCCTGCTATTCCTCAGTGACAAATTCCTCTAAGAAAGCCACTGGCGAGATTCAAAGAGAATCGAAAGTGCATTCTTGTCCAAAATCTACACAATTGGCAGCAATTACACTCTCAGCCGATGGCTGTGTGAATATAAATATTTAAGGAGAGTTAACCCTTGAAATGCAAACACATTTCAAAAAGACAGAGTCCTTCTGATATATGAACTCTTTTTCGTGCTATCCACTTAAATGCGTAAATAAGTGGTTTATTAAATGAGAAGCCTTATGCCTCCTAGTAACGAATTCGTCACGCTCCACGTTTAATAAAAAAACGCTCAGTTTCAAATACGCTAAAGAACAGAGGATACCTACATAGAGCCTATGTTCTGGCTGGATTTGCAGTTCAGAGGGAACGAATTGAAGGTCTTGCGGATTTTAGCAAAATCGCTGCTAAGTGCTTGTCATTGTTCACTTGACATGAAGAGGTTTGGAGATTAAGACTTTGGAACAAGTTGATAGCATGACAAATTGGAAATACTAAAATCGCTACATGAAATGCGGGGACTAACGTAAGTACCACAGCAAAGTCAACAGAAAAGGAATAAGTCACTTCGTCACTTAGCTTGAGTCACGGAGAAATCTAGAATGATGGTAACCATTCAACTCCGAAGAATAATAACGACATACCTCGGGCGTTAAAAAAAACAAATAAGAAATAGAATCCTACGTCTATCAAATTTCCGGTTGCATAATTCGTAATGCGTAAGTATTATCATCAATAAGTATCTCCACTGAACTTTCTCAGTGTGATGGTGTCAGTTAGTGGGCTGCTTGAGGGGTGGTTCCCACTTCCAGGGTTGCCATATATACCTCCTCTCTGCTGCTTGCTTTTGGCCCCACACTAACCTTTAAGGTACCAGCTCCTAAGCTCATCATTAGCAATAAGTTTAATTATTTTAATATTTTCCAAACTAATTTTCCAAAATTTTTTTTTATTTCAGCATAAAACACTCAATAAAGTCATATTATAGTATGGTAAACCTTCTTTAGCCAGTGAGAGAAAAAATCAGAACTTGTAACTAAAGAAAAAACAAAGTGTTATTACTACTGTTGTTCTACAAACCTGAGCCTTCCAAATCAATTATCTCAGTATGTGTACCAAAATCTCTTACAAAAGTGCCCTTGCTTAAAGCTTCTGAAAAGTACTAAACGTTTGGAAAAATGCATTAATTACATAACATTTTGCTACCATACTACTTGAATAAATGTTCCCTCACACCAATTTCATTGTCTTAAAGAGAATGTCTGCATGTCTTTATGCTACTTAAAGGACAGCACTTTCTAGAAAAAAAAGCTGGGTTACAGTCACTCATTAGCAACATTAGGTTACACTGCACCCATGGATGTGCCACCTAAAGTGCAGCCTATGTTAATTACCTTTAACTGAATAAGACACTGGGTTACACATCACCCATGGGTGTGCCACCTAAAGTGCAGCCAAAGGAAGTTAACTTTACTAAATACAACACTGGGCTACACTGCACCCATGGGTGTGCCACCTAAAGTGCAGCCTATGTTAATTACCTTTAACTAAATAAAACACTAGGTTATACTGCACTCATGGGTGTGCCACCTAAAGTGCAGCCTATGTTAGTTACCGTTTACTAAAGAAAACACTGGGTTACACTGCACCTATGGGTGTGCCACCTAAAGTGCAGCCTATGTTAATTACCTTTAACTAAATAAAACACTAGGTTACATTGCACCCATGGGTGTGCCACCTAAAGTGCAGCCTATGTTAGTTACCGTTTACTAAAGAAAACACTGGGTTACACTGCACCTATGGGTGTGCCACCTAAAGTGCAGCCTATGTTAGTTACCGTCAACTAAAGAAAACACTGGGTTACACTGCACCTATGGGTGTGCCACCTAAAGTGCAGCCTATGTTAGTTACCGTCAACTAAAGAAAACACTGGGTTACACTGCACCTATGGGTGTACCACCTAAATGCAGCCAAAGTAAGTTTCCTTTAACTAAAGAAAACAATGGGTTACACTGCACCCATGGGTGTGCCACCTAAAGTGCAGCCTATGTTAGTTACCTTTAACTAAATAAGACACTGGGTTACACTGCACCCATGGGTGTGCCACCTAAAGAGCAGCCTATGTTAGTTACCTTTAACTAAATAAAACACTGGGTTACACTGCACCCATGGGTGTGCCACCTAAAGTGCAGCCTATGTTAATTACCTTTAACTAAATAAAACACTAGGTTACACTGCACCCATGGGTGTGCCACCTAAAGTGCAGCCTATGTTAGTTACCATTTACTAAAGAAAACACTGGGTTACACTGCACCTATGGGTGTGCCACCTAAAGTGCAGCCTACAGTAGTTACCTTTAACTAAATAAAACACTGGGTTACACTGCACCCATGGGTGTGCCACCTAAAATGCAGCCTATGTTAGTTACCGTCAACTAAAGAAAACACTGGGTTACACTGCACCTATGGGTGTACCACCTAAATGCAGCCAAAGTAAGTTTCCTTTAACTAAAGAAAACAATGGGTTACACTGCACCCATAAGTGTGGCACCTAAAGTGTGCCACCTAAAGTGCAGCCTATGTTAGTTACCTTTAACTAAATAAGACACTGGGTTACACTGCACCCATGGGTGTGCCACCTAAAGTGCAGCCTATGTTAATTACCTTTAACTAAATAAAACACTAGGTTACACTGCACCCATGGGTGTGCCACCTAAAGTGCAGCCTATGTTAGTTACCGTTTACTAAAGAAAACACTGGGTTACACTGCACCCATGGGTGTGCCACCTAAAGTGCAGCCTATGTTAGTTACCTTTAACTAAATAAGACACTGGGTTACACTGCACCCATGGGTGTGCCACCTAAAGTGCAGTCTATGTTGATTACCTTTCACTAAATGAGACACTGGGTTACACTGCACCCATGGGTGTGCCACCTAAAGTGCAGCCTCTGTTAGTTACCTTTAACTAAATAAGACACTGGGTTACACTGCACTCATGGGTGTGCCACCTAAAGAGCAGCCTATGTTAGTTACCTTTAACTAAATTAAACACTTGGTTACACTGCACCCATGGGTGTACCACCTAAAGTGCAGCCTATGTTAGTTACCTTGAACTAAATTAAACACTGGGTTACACTGCACCTATGGACCTCTAACTATAGAAAATTCTGTGTTACTCTACACTTTAAGGTGTGTTAACCAACAGAATCAGACATGCTAAAATTAAACAATGGTTCACACTTCAATCCTGAGCTCACCTATATTCCTACATGCAGTAGCTTTCAGTTAATGGAGCTCCATTAATTTCAAGCTGCTGTGTGATGGAATTAGTCATAAGATGGGGCAAATTACATAGGAGACTGTAGCAATTAAAGAAATACTCACAGAGGTATTTGATTCCTAAAGCGCACTCCGACGGATCGTCTGGACGCTGTATGAACTCAATGAATACACATTACCAGTGAACTTGACTACATGATGTTAAATCAAGTTGCAAGTATAAAAATAATAGTTGCTTCTTACTAACATCAACACGAGCCTGGTAAAATGTAACTCTGTTAAGGATAAAATTTTTTGCCGTGTTCACATCTTCATACGGCTTCTTGAATTTATCCAGTGGTAGGGCAAGTTCTACAATTTCTTCAAGGTGTTGAAGGATTTCCCGTTCTGTTGGACCTGAAACACAACAGCATGAGAGCAAATTAAAAAAGCAAAAAAAAAGATTTTACCTAAGACCTATGGAAAACATCTCTTGAAAACATTATTTTAGGAAATTTCTTACCAGACATTGAACTGACATGGATATTCTGCTTTGTAATAGCAGACTGTTGATCTGACTTCTTCTTTACTGAGATGCGATCGCCATGAAATGACTCTGGGCCATAGTTTTTCAAGGCAGCATTGGCCTATGCTAGGGGAATCTACCCTGTATGCAAGAAGACCAATGGATGCCAACAACTGTTCAGTGTTGCGCATCTCCATATGGAGAGCACAAAGTTGAATGTTGCAAAGCTCTTCGTCCAAAAGAAAAACCAGATCATCTCGTATACCAGTTGATCTACAAGACAATTTCAAAGAATGATTGATTTTCTGAAGCAATGAATTATTTCATGTTTTTCTTTTTTTTCTTTTTCTTTTTCAATTACCAAACTATGAGTACTCCTTTCCTGACAGTATGAAAACAATTTTTGACAACCTTCCAAGTTTGGCAAAAGATCCTGAATGAGGATTTTAGTTTACTAGCAACAATTTAAAAAAAACCCCAAACTATACACTTAATTTCAGTTCATGCTTTAGTACAAGTCATTTCCCCATGGCTTACAAAATTCATTTTGTTATGTAACAGTAAGAAAATCCCTTTATGTGTTTGAATGTAATTTAATATGACAATGATCAAATGCCTACACACCTTCCTATGTTGCATTTGCTTCTTAGGCAATCCAGGCATGTCTCATCTGGAGCAACATCATGGCATTTGCAACCCTGACAAAAACAGGCACACTATCAAATAATATATAATATTATAATTTCAGATAGAACTACAGATTTATCATGCTTCCGATTATCTTCTTCAGAGTTCATGCAGATTTTTGGATCCAAAATTCAAGACTTTTCCCAGACCTTTTTTCCAAAACATCAATTTATTTTTCCAGACTGAAGATGGTCAAATAGGTGATTAATAGAGATCTTGAAAAATGCAGAAACCAAGCTTCTTTCATGATGCACTGCAAATGTACAATAACCATGGTGCAATTGTGAAACTTCTCATTCTGTGATTGAATGTCTTAGCTACAGGCGAGATTGAATTGACCACAGGGGAAAAAAATGAACTTATTAAGCACTTTTTGTAGCTATAAAAAAACTCCAGACTTGAACTATTTTTCTAGACATTATCTTCAATTTCAAGACTCTTTCCAGGTCTGGAAAATCAAGACTTTTCCAAGAATTTATGACTCTGTGTGAGCCCTATTCTTTTTACAGTACATGTATTCATACTTTCAGTGATTTTTAAATGTTTTAAAGCAGAATGACCTTTAGAGAAGTACTTTACAACTTTTTTTGACTGAATTAAAGCTACTTGATGTTTCTATCACTCACTAATTATTTTCCCAAATATTGGCAAAGATCAAAGTCATCTGAAATCACTGTAAAAAAAGTTGATGAACTGATGCAGCACTTTTATGTACCTCAACTTTAACAGCACAAGTTGCAGTTGCCCCATACTAATTTCTATATCATTTGAGTACTTTACCCTGATAGCATTGCAGATGAAACAGAACTCGACACTGACACCTCTACCACCTAACATGAATGAAGCATTCGTCTTCTTCACCAAAAGAAGTACGAAGGTCTTGTAGTTCAGTACAACTAAGTTTGATAACAGAAATGGGAAAGCAAAAGTTAACATGCTAAACTTTCCAGGAAATTAATCTCTAATGTATCTAAAGAAAAGGGTAGTCAAATCAATTTCTGACGTAAAATAGTAATAAATTCCAGGTTTTATTTCTTGCTGCTGCAGTTAAACCTTGAACATGTTTTACAATATAAAAAAACTCTTAATTTACTATAGTTTGACTACTGCTTCAATCTAGTTATAGTCAGACTACCAACTGGGTAGAAACACAATAAATTGCTATAAATAGTATCATGAACAAGAAGTTGACTTTTAAAGCAAATTCCAAGACTAACATTGATTCTTACTCAGAAATTCAACGGTGTAATGTCTACCATCAACTGTCATTCCTTTTTCCTTTAATATTTTCTTCTGGTGGTTGATGTCCTCAAAAAGAATCTTGAGGTTGTCTCTGTCAACAAACAAAAACCAAAAATCTATACAGTCATTGTTATATTTAGTGCACTAAAGCCAAATTAGGGATATTGATATCAATCCACTTAGATCTCAGAGTGGATGCATGAACTGGTGATATTGCAACTGAGTGGGGCTTACAAAAATCTGTCATTGTGTTATTTAAGTTAAATGCACATACAACCACAAGCATATTCTAGCCAGAAGATAGTAAAGAGTTCAAGCAAGTTGCAATTCACAAACCTGTCTTCTTTACAGTTAGCAATTGTCAATGGGTAGACTGATTTTGCACTTTGCTGGCTATATACAGCACCATCACGGGGAACAATTCCAAACAACACCTGAGCTCTACCTGCAAAACAATTTTTTACACTAAATTAGTCAAGACAAAAACTGCACCCTTCACCAACCCATTTCACCTTACACATTATTATAATGACCACCTTCCATACAAAGAACTGCTAATGCAAGGCCAAAAAAATTTAACAGTTATAGTTATTTTGATTTGGAAGTACAACACACACACACACACAAAAAATATGTGGATGATCATCATACGTGGGGAACGACCTTTTATAACAATAATGATAAAATAATTTACAGACAAAACTGCAGAGACAGCATGCATTATCACATAATTTTACCCCAAAATGGTCTCCCATCAAGCTTCATCATCAGTCGCAAAGCATGTGAAGACAGCTGGTGCAGCCTTTGTTCCCTTACGATTAACTCCACAACAGAACTCAAATTCACAGAGAAACCTTGTATAGGAGGAGCCACCTTCTTAACCCCCATATACTCCTTACAAGCTCCAAAAACCATCCTCTTAGCTGCCTTGATCTGGTTTAAGTTGAGGAGGAGAGGCGTGAGAGAGGATTTCTAAGAAAATAATAGAAAGCAAGGTGATAAAAAGCAAAGATTAAACTTTTTAATCTAGGTTGATTCTTTGTATCCTTTGTCTCCTACTAGTCCTAGGAAACAAAGGAAACAGATAATCAACCTCTGTAGGTTAAAAAATCTTCCCTTGAACATAATTTTGACCTGTAACAATAACATTGCTACAGTCAGCAAGGGTCTTTGTGACCATTTTATGAGAAACTTTTATCACTTTGCCAGCCCTATGTTCTTCAAATTTGAAAAAATGAGTTAAAGTACTGCTTTTACCGTTAAAGCACCGCTTATTTTCCTCATATATATTTTTGAGTTCTTGATGAATAAAGCTCTACCAGTTCAAACAGCATCTATCAACAGAATTTCATGGGAAAAAACTTTAAAGATTATATTTTAAATTTACACTTGGTGTCATGGAATATTAATAGGAAGTAGGGCGATGACCTTCTATATTAATGGTCCAGGGTTTGTCACTAAGAGCCGGCTTCCAGCATATTTCACCAGCTGAAAAAGGGCTTACCACTGGCTCAAATTGCTCTGGAAAACAGACATAGGGTAATTTTGAAGACGCAGTTGAGTAAAACGCCCGCTTAAGTAATAAAAAAAAGCCTGCTTATCTTTTCCTGTACAAGGCTTCGCTTACGAGAATAACTGAATAAAACAAAAGAAAGAGCTGCTATAAACATTGAGGCTCGCGATGGAATAGTTCTTTTTTTGTTCTTTTATTCCCTTAGCCGGGGCGCCAAGTATGAATATTAATATACCGACGTAAGACCAACGTAACTAAACATCTTACCCCCGTCCTTCTGAGCCCTGTGATGTTTATCACGGATTGCCACGTTTTCGAAGAAACTCTCGCTATCGCCTGGAAAAGGACAAGCTTCCAATCAGGAACTCTCAAGCACGCCACGTACTTCGACATTGTGTCGTCGCCAACTAGCTCTTCCACACTCCTCTTTACTCCCCTTTTTACAGCCATCTCTTCGACAATTTCATTGACGATGGCCTTCGCTTCTGGGTCGCCAAATGCGCACATGTTCGAAAGCACCATCGCCAAACTTTCCCTGTTTCTTTCGCACACGTCATGCACGTCCTTGATGACGCGACTGCTTCGCTGCTTCATCAACAGCACCTTTTCTGGAGTATCCAAATCTTCCTTTTCGCTGATCTCCTTTAGATTTGGGGAAACATTCTTTTTTTCAGCTCTTTGCGAGTTTCCTCTGTTTGGGGGTGTCATAGCCACAGATGATCTTGTTCGTTGGTGTCGTTGGCATTTCCAAGCATCGTGAAGCACGTGGTCGTTCTTTGTTTGCTTGGCCTTCATTTTCTTTGTCGATAGACATTTTACTGAGATCTACTGAGTTCAGCAAATCTCTTAGCTGCGAAATGAACTCAGAGCTTTCTGAAGAGGAACGGCGAAGCAGAGTGGTTATCAACCCAAACGAGGAACAGACAATTTCCGTTGCATTAGAGGACTTCTTGTTCGAGTAATGGTGGCCATCTAGCAGCCGAATGTGGGCACTGTCGATTCTTTGAAAATCCCTTGGAAAACTGGCGACAACAGGCGACCGCTTAAAGTATTGCGTCGGCGTTGATCCACAAAATTTCGAACTTAGAATGAACCAAGTCAATTGTGGACTTAATTCAGGGCTGATGACCGGAGTGAAGGGCGAGAAACCCTTCCTAGGTGCCATCTCTACTGCTACTGAATCACGCGTTTGAAATACGAAACTGCAAAGAAAAGATAGGCGGGAAAAAACCATGACATTCGAATATCGACATAGTAACATTATCCAGCTGCTAACTCGAGAGTGTTGATAATTTAAGCTAGTCGGCCCATGACATATTTAATGAGATTAAATCAAATTAACTTCGGGATTATCACACCTGACGAGCCCAGCGGGCTTAATACTTACAGTGCAAAGCACTTGTGTCTTCTCATGTCCGGGGGAAAGGCTGAACTTGGGCCCTTTCGCGAGGAGGTTGACTACTTTGCTGTTAAGGCTATTTGTGAGGTCGGTGACCAGGTCATTTGTGTTTTCCGGTCTGGTGGTGTCCTGTGGTTGGTTGGTGTCTTCTGTGTTGGTTGCGTCCTGTTGGCTATTGGTGTTGCCTGTGTTGTCACTTTTCTAGAGTTCCGCTAGCAGTTTTTGGAATCTTTCGTAGTGCAGTTTACTTGCGGTGTTATATGCGAGATATCGCTGGAGGCGGACTTTTGTAGCTATTTGCGGCGGTAGGTTGGAAGTAATTTTCGCCGATCGAAGTTGACTTTGATACTAGCCGAGCCAATTTTGTCCTCACGAAGAAAATATTACACAACAGCGAAAGCTTAGCCACAATCAAACAAAGACTCACTTTTCTCCACTGACACCCACAACACACTGATTTCCTCACCTACCCGCAGTCCAAACACATCTACAAGCCAGATTCCAAAGACGAGCTGGAACAAAAACTACGCAGAATCCACAATAAGCTCCAAACCACAATCAGATAACTTGTGCCACGAAAGAAATGGTCCAACATCAGCAACGTCGACAAGAAAACGATCAAAGACCTCAAAGAAAAGGACGTCATCTGCCTCCCACTGCACGAAAAAACGGATTTAAACAGGTTTGCGACAGAAGTAAATATGATGCAAATTTAGCCTTCTAAATTTGACCAAAATTATCACCAGAAGTAATTATGATACAAACACAGATGTTTATTCCGTTGAAATTGCGTGCAAATACGACGTAAACCTGAAATCTACTTTACATTTGCTTCGTATTTGATACCTCCGCAAATCAACAAATCCGGTGTACATTTACTCCAGATTTGCTCTCTATGGAAAAATTATGTTTGCTTTCTGCAAAAATCTAAGCAAACATGTTGCAAATCTATATGTATGCATCACTGTTTTCCAACGTTTACCCAAACTACATCCAAAAACTTTCGCGTGCGTTTTACTCATGTAACATGTGCAAATATTTACTTTTGGACAAAATTTGCATTACTTCCAAATGACCAGATTTGCGAGTGTTTTCTCACATTTGCTTTCGGTTTTCTGATAGTATTCGTTCTGATGAGGGATGAACGTTCGAAACGCCATCTTTTTGAGGTGACAATGTCAACCTAGTTGACTAAACAATTTTCCAACTTCCACTCCGCAACCGACACAGCATCAGTCCACTTTAAAGGAAAACTAACCCCTTAACAAATTTTGACCATGAACTGAGGCATTTAGAAGGCAATTAAAAAGGAAAAAAGGGTCATCTAAAGTGTGTATAATGAACACAAGTCATGGGGTGGATAAAGATCCCCCCTGAAAGCATAAACTTTATTTCCAAAAGAATTTGGAATTAACACTAATTTACATCAGTTCAATTATACCATGTGATAGAAAATACAGTCAATCTGAGTACAGATCGACTAGTTGATGGTTTTTTAAAGAATCGGTTTGAGCAATGTCACCGCCAAATTTTTCCACTGACGACTGGGGGATATGGGCCTCACCCCCAGAGACTACCAGGACTCCTGTCCAGGGTGGCTACCCCCAGTACCACTCGATCTTATCTCCCCCCCCAGGAGGGCTTCTCTCCTGGTCCCCTTACCCCTAGATTTAAGCACTTCCCTGCCACCAGAATTTGCCCATTACCTATTGTGTGTTTTCTGTGTGGTACCTGGCATAGAGCCTTTATGCAAAAACACTGCCAATTGGAAGAGATTATTAACTCACTTATTAAAAAATAATAACTACAGTGTTCATGTAGTGCTACTGTTGCCATGGCCTAAATCTTAAAAGAAGAAAGAAAATCATAAGAGCACAACATGCTGAATCCTTTGTCAAAAGTCTCCCAATCTAAACCAAAACTGATCCCAATACAAGAAAGTTATCTACTTTGTGAGTGCTTATACACTAGGGATTCACCATCAGGTCTTGACACCTCATTTCACTGCCATTTTAAATAAGTAAAGCGATGTTCAGCAGTGATTAAAAGCAATAGAACCAGATCCACTCTCCATCATGTATTTTGGGATCCAGAGCTTCTCTTTCAAATGACACACAGGGGAATGATATTTACTGCAGAAATAACACGGTCCATAACCAAAACTTGTCGCACATTATTTGTATTCACTACAAAGTTTGCTTTGGCTAACTTTACAGATGAAACATCTGTCCTGTCCCGTTTCCGGTGTGCTGCCTAAAGATGAAAACATCTGGGCAACTACAAGCTTCCACCTACTCTGCAGTGAACACACACTTGTGAAATTTAAGTGATTGAACAATGTTGAGTTTAGCCTTTGGTATTTACCTTTCTAATCATGATGATTTCATACAGTTAGTCTGGAAAAATTAATACCTCCGCCAATCATTGAATTTACCTTACAAGGGAAGCTTCCGCTAACTTAACAGATGAAACATCTGTCCTGTCCCGTTTCCGGCGCGCTGCCTAAAGATGAAAACATCTGGGCAACTACAAGCTTCCACCTACTCTGTAAGGAAAGCCGAATTAAAGGTAAATATTTCACCATCACTTTTCTGTAGTTCCAAGCTTGCAAAGGAGGTCATTTGAAAAAAGAAACCCTGGTAGTATGACCAGAAACAGTGGTTTTGGCTTTCAATTGAGCCTGAAGTAAATAACAATTCTCCCACAGAATGTGAAATCCTTACTTGTGCAGTAAAATATGTCATACAATAGTCAAATCCACATTATAAATTTAAATTTATAGCCAGGTCATTTTAAAAACAGAAGAAAAATAACCTAAGATCGGATGGAGTGGACTTGGCTTTCAGTCCACTTAAAGCAAAACTTCAGTAACTTATCAGTAATTTTATTAGAAAGCTATTTTTTTAAACTAAAGGTCACAATATTAACATCATTAAAACACTTTTACCCTTTAAGCCCCAAAACCTAAATACACAATTTGCCAAATAATCTCCACTCATTAGTCGAGAGAATTAATTTGTTGAAAGATGAAACCCTTCTCCTTGTGGTGTTTATTTGGTTGTCATAATCTTTTCCTTTAATGAAGTAATGATGTTGTGAGGGGAAAACTGTTTTGGGTGACTCTTGGGACTTAAAGGGTTTGTAGCCCTGCCACAGTGTCAGAGTGTTTTAGTTAGGGGAGATATGACAACCAATAGAGAGAAGGAGTATGATGTCACTTTACCATGGTAGCAACATTTCTGGATCACAACAGTGGGGAGCTTAAGCAACAACCACAGCGACGGCAACGAATGGCAAAAAAGAAATCAGTTTATTATATAAACACCAATGAAATACTAGGTGAGCTTTCTTGCAAAAACTTGATATCTTCACAACTGGAAATAACATGTTATCCTCACATGTAAAATATCACCTTTGCTATGGCTAGATAATAAATCGTGCCTTTCACACCAAAAAACTGTTAAAGTGAAATGGTTTGGTATTTCATTGGTGTTTACATAATAAATAGAACATTACATGGCCGCTTGGACATACGGAATTTCTCTTCTCGTTCAACACTTGAAGAGAAATTTCTTATCTCCGTGCGGCCATGTAATATCCTCTAGCAAAACAACAACTTTGCACGTGCATCACATTTTTCTGTACATTTCTTATCCATCGTTGCAAGTCTGCAGCTTGAAACTTCCTAATTTCATGTAACTGGTTTATGGAGTTGGTGAACACAGCGCAAGAATTTTTTTTTTCTTTTTCTAAAGTCAGATATGGTCCTTTTGGATTCAACCCCAGAAAATAATTTCGCCACGATTTTACAAGTTAAAAGAAACTGAATAAGATCGATAAGTTTGAAACAGTGTGAATTCACTTTTTAAGTGACCTTTTCACTTTGTTGTCATCAACAAATCTGACATAATGACTTCTCCTCTCTATTTAATATCAAGAACCTAATCATGATGACAGAGACTTGACACTGACCAAGAGGTGATCCAAAGAAGCCCTAGCATTTGGGTCATTCTTTAAGCTGCATTCACTAAGGGAGAGAAGTGGCTTGCAACCAATCTTGGTTGCAATCTGCCTTAACAGACAGCCAAGGGCATATACATCACTTGCATGAGATGGAGGGTGGGTTCCTGCAACAACTTCAGGGGCAACATGTGTGTACTTCTGTTTGTATGTCTCTTGTTCTTGTTTGGACAAAACTTTTCTACTGGCTTCCTGTTTTCTAATGCACTTTCCAAAATCAATGATTACTGGCACAAACAGTGTATTTTTGTATGTAAGCAAGATGTTATCACCTTTTATATCCTGATGAATCAGTCCAGAGTTGTGCAACACTTTGAGTGCTTCTAGAAGTTGCAAAATGACATCAAACCACTCTTGATTTTTTAATACCAAGGTA